CTCGGTGATCGCTTGCCTGGAAAAGCTGGTAATGGACTATTAAATAGTTGTTTGTGAAATCGCTGCACACGACGGTGTTTACTTGTTTCTGCAGAAGTGTTGCTGTTTACCCAGTTCTGGATAAAGAGCAGAGACCATTTGACAAGGCCCCAGAGTAAACAGCATCTCTCCCAATATTCCTCTGTGTGTCTGATGCAAGCCTCTGCCTTTTCCGGTATTGTGGAATGAGACGGGGCATGTGGGAATACTGGAGGAGTCACAGCGAGCGGGGCTAGGCTAATGTGGTTGAGTACTGTGCACCAAGGTTTGGCATAACTAGCATACACTGTGCTCTGCCCTCAGGAATCTCTGCCAGCCTCTTGTTGTGGAATTTAAAAATTGCACAATAAGTGTATTCTCCTTTATGCTAAGGCCCCTGACAAAGTCGAGGGTTGCCTTAGAAGGGGGTAACATAAAACTGATATGCGTCACTAACTTCTGAGCTTAAATAATATTGAACACATCTTGAGTGTTTAGTTTTGTACCAGACACTGAGTAAGAGGCATGATTCTTCTTATTTTCCCTTCCAGAAGTGACATGAGGCGAGTACTGTGACCATGAGGTTACAGATGGGCAGAGACAGACACACGGAAGTTACCTTATCTGCCAAGCCTTAGCGTTGCAAGAAGGGGAACTGTGGATTGACTCCAGATTCTCCAGTTGCCCAACCTATGCACTCACTGCAGTTGTTTCAACATGGATCTGAGTCTGCCGAAAAATGGTGCGGGACAATTCTACATGGATGTGGAGCCCTGGAGAGAGTGTGATCTAACTAGGAGGCTGAGTACAGGCAGAGTTAGGACAAGGGGAAGAACTAAGCAGAGGGAAGGTAGACCTTACGAGCTCCTGACTCTGGCTAGGAATTTGCCAGGGAAGATCTAATAGAAATTGATATAGAAAAAAGACAAAGGAACAAAGGAAGTACATAATGTCACAGATTTGTGTAGGGCTAACCTGATAGGCCTCTTTTCATAGATGTTTCCTCCAGCCTGAAATTGCAGGGCCTGGCTCTCTGCCCCACTTACTAGGTTGTATGTGGTTCTGCATCCATGAGGTCTTATGCTTTGCACAGCCATTTTGACTTTCTGTGGTTGCAGAGGGAAGTGAGAGGCAGAGTATGGTGGCTGGGTTGACCCTGACTCCTTTGCCTTGCTCTGGCTTCTGCTCTTTCCGGCACCCTCCAAGTCACGTCCTGCTTATGGCCATGGAATGCCTTCCAGGCTATGCTTTCCTTCCTGTAGGCGCTTCCCCCTTTCATGTTGGCCTCCCTTCTCTCCGCATTTTAGGCCCCTTTCATTTCTAGGGAATCGTTCAAGTCATACACTTACGGTTCCCAGTTCAGTCTGATTTTGGGTTCTGTAATTCATTGTTATGTGGAGAATGCCTTCAGTGAGACACAACAAGCTGCAGAATATAATTCTCCCTTAATGTATATTTACTAAGTGTATTTATTATTCATCAGGATGTGCATTTTAAAATGTGAGTCTAGATTCCCTCACTTTTAATCCCAAACAAATGTTAAAAGATTTATTTTTATAATAATCCTGGAATGAGAGCTAAGTAAGCCTCCCTGAACACAGCTTGCCAAGTGGTGGATGTTAGCTCTATATATCCACGCTGGATGCTCAATCTGCAGTTGCTTGTCATCCCTTACTGTTTCTAGTGGTGATGTACAGAAGTGTATGAGCACACCAGGGCTCATCGATGGTTGCAATTTGTTGGCACTGACTCTGGGGAAGGAGTACTGCAAGGGAAAACATTAAGTCCCTTTTCTTTGCGAGCTACAGATAGATATGGTGGGAGAAATAAAGGCAGATAAATGAAGAAAAGGGAATATGTGTTTCAGGAGACAAGAAATGTACAGAAATAAACTTTAAAGACCTCAAGGTACCATCAACAAGAAAGTGCTTGAAAAGTATATGAAGAATTAAACGTGAATGCATCCCAGAATGAATGATCCGCACTTCCCCATCCTGCAAAAAGAGGAGGCTCTAGAGAGCGGGTGCCAGAGGGTGGCGCAGCAAAGAATTCTTAGCAAGAGGCAAGCTTCAAAGACAGTGCAATGGTGTCCCTAGTTAGAGCAGGCTTCCGTTTGAGCAGAGGGTTTCAGCTGACTTTGGGAGGAATCTTTGCTGATTAGAGATCTTTGTTACAATACCAAGTGGCATCAATTTCACACATTCCTTCAGATCCTGGCATGGACAGGCTGCCTAGCCATCAGTAAGAGGCTCCTCTTTTGTTGTTGAGGGCTGGTGAAAAAGGTCTTCATTTCTGCCAAATAATGGTTTTGATAAATTGATAATATTTATATTAGCAAAAGGTTACATGACTTTGCCTGGGGCATCATGAACAAACACCTTTTCACCTCAGAAAGACCAAAGTAACAAGTACGCTCACGTCTAACTTGGTGAGCCGATGAGTTTATTGGGGTTACTTACAGGAACATGGGTGAGGGGTTGGGCTATTTATAGTAGTGGTGTATCATTGGAAAGCCCACCCCAGAATGGGTGATAGCTCATTAAAGCTTCATCCTTGAAGTTCCTTGCTTAATTTACAGGTGGCTTGAGCCCCCACCAACTGTTTGCTGCTTTTAAAACATTTGGGAAGGACCATATGAATCTTGTAAGTTTCAGGAACTTGCTGAGCCTTGTACTTTTGTTACCTGGCCCTCCCCCAACCCCCAAGTCTTGTAAGTCTTTCATCCTCTCACCAGGAGGGCCTGTTTCAATCGGGAAGAAATACCTGTACCACAGCAATTATTATTGAAATACAAGTTCAAGCGGTTCAGGGAAAGGAATAGTTCAGTTGGAACTGTCAATCAGTTTAAGTGTTGGGATGTCTTTCCTCAGGGTTGTGTGTTACTAGATGCACACGCCAGTATGGTCTGTTTCACAATGGGAGTTATCAGCACAGTAAGAATGGAAGTTATTATGAGAGTGATGCTTCAGGCTTATCAAGAAAGTATGTTTTTATTGCATTGGATGCAGTCAACAAAACGAGAGATTGATTCTACTTGTTAAGTACTATCAAATGAATAGAATCAAAGATGGAGAAAAGGAATTCCACTAACAAATACACACTTTTAGTCCTCATTCTGCCACAATGAATTCCTCAAAAGTAACTTCACTGAAGAAAAATGGTTAGGGGATATATGCGTCTTGCATTAGAACTTTATGGTATACAGCATGGGGCAGAACATTAGATGTGATCTCTATCTACATTTCAAATATAACCCTTACATCTATAATGGCATACCCATTAGATAATAATTAATGTTGAAGAGCCAGATTTAACCAAAGAATCAACTTTACCTATGTAATGAAACAATCTGAAACAAAACCAAGTAAAACAGTTTTAAGGAAATAATAGAAAATAGCCACATTCTGAAAATTGGAAAAAGTGATAGCAAATCGCATCAGCTCCCTTTCTTTCGAGTGCTCTTTGGTCTCTGTTGGCAACCTCTCTGTTCAGAGCTGCCATTCTTTCCTCTCTGGCAGACTTCTTATTGACCAATGCCTTCCACGTTGGCTCATCTGACTAGGAACAGAACCGTTCTCTTCTCTGTGAGATACTAAGTGACACGACCTCTAAATTCTTACCATGCCCCTTGGCGTTTGATAAATGAATTAAATAGAAATAATTGAGTATCATTCGCTTAGCTTGAAGCTTGCAATAAATGTCGCTGGTGTCATACAAAACAATTTATAAATTACTTTGAAAAGAATTGTTTCAACTAGAGAGCATGCAGTGAAAGAGACAAATGGGAAGGATTTGTGAGAGGGCCTGTCTGTAATGACATCATAAGAGCTGAGAGGATTTCAATAGCAATTCTATCCATGCCAAGAGCAGAAAGAAGAAACACAGTGTTGTGTCCTTCGTCTTTCACCTTCTCATAGGTGATTGGAACTAACAGTAGCAGTTGTACAGAGACTCAGCTGGTTTAGGTGTTAGTTGACTTGCATTAATTTGTGTTGTCTGTCCACTGAGTTTCCAGAAACCCTTTTGCTAACCACAAATAGTAAGAGACAGATTACTTGGATTTTAAAGGCATTTGTCTCAAAATATTGCCGAAGTAATGATTGTTAGCATTGTTTGCTGTACCAAAAAGTTTTTTGTGAGAGGTTTTTTTTTTTTGGTATGAGTGCTTGTATAGGTGCAAGGGGTACATGTGTACATGTATCCATATGTATATGGGGACTAGAGGACACCCTCCAGTGTCATTCCTCAGCTGCCAGCCACCTTGCTTTTTGAGGTCTCTCATTTTTACCTTAGAGCTCGCCAGGTAAAGTAGGCTGGCTACCCAGGGAGCACCAAGGATCTATTTGTCTCTACCTCTCGGCACTGGGATCACAAGTACACACCACCACGCCCAGTGTGTCTGTGTGTTTGCACATGTGGAAGTCAGGGGAAAACCTTCCAGAGTCTTGGCCTTTCCACCTTTGAGACAAGGTGTCTTCCCTGCCACACAAGCCAGGCTAGCTAGCCCGCCAGCTTCTGGAAGGCTCTTCCCTGCTTCCCGCTTCCCATGGCATGCTGGGATTGCAGTTGCTTGTGATATTGCATACAGCTTTTATGTGGGTTCTGGGGATTGAACTCAGGTCATCAGGCTTATGCCAAAAGCATTTTTTTAAAACCACAGAGCGGTCTCCCAGACTGGAAGTTTCTACTTTTTAGCAAAATTTCCAGATGAACATTATATCACTGAAATGTCAAGGGTTATGTTTAGTTCATGAGACAGGCTCAAAACAATGAAATTTTTCTCTCATACAAATTTCTAAGGTGAGGGAAAAAATACTAAAAAAAGCAAATTAAGGAGAGAGAAGTAATTGAGACATTATTTCACTAAAGTTGTTTTATTGCCTGCCAGGCAAGTATCTTCAAGAGATGGACTGAAAGGGAAAAGACTTTTGTAGTGAGCATCTGAGCCACAGCAGATTTGTGGGTATTATTGGCTTTTTCAGACATCAAAAGCAAACTGTGTGAAAGATGATGGAGGTGCTCAAACAGGAATGGGGAATGAAAATGAGAGAATAGAAGATCATGCTCAATAAAAACACAAAATGATAATCAGAATAAATGAGACTATCAGCACACAAGTAGAAGAAAATCAACCAGGAACATCTGTTCAGGTGAGGCTGAAATTAAGAGAATAATCAGACTCTGATCATGTGCATTTGGAAAAATGTCTGTGAAAAATCTGATGGGTAGCAGCCTCTGTTTGCCCATGTGGAATAATCACATACTACCTTTGTGTGTTCATTTATTAGAACTGGCTTGTATGGTTGTGACTGCTCTACTTTCCAAGAGACAAAGTCTGGTAGCAAAAATGCCATCAAATGTGCAGGGAATATTAAGACATTTTTAATGATGAAATTCAAACTTCTCAGAAAAATATACAGTGAGAGTAGATATGAAAAACATTTTTAAGTTAGCACCCAAATGAACTCACAATAATACAAAGTCACAAAAATCCTTGGAGAAATAATATACACATGATATAGCAAGATTTAAATGAAATACATTGATTTTCGGGTCTAGAAAAGATAAGATACACACACATCTCCCCAAGCTTCCTGCTACATGTTATTAAGAACTCCTATCAAAATTCAGCCACCCTGGTCTACAAAGTGAGTTCTAAGCTAGTCAGGGTTACATAGTGAGACCTTGTCTCAAAAAAAGACATAAATAAATAAAAGTAAACAAATAAAGCAGCCCCAGTCACCCAAAACTCCTCACCAACTCTAAACATTACATGCAAAATAAGCATAAGAAATCATGCAAGCTGGAGAGAGGAAGGCAGTGAGTTATCAACCTTTGGACCTAAGGAGCCACATGTTACTGACCTCCTTGGGTTTTATTCTTGACACATCTAGCCCGAGCTGGAAACACTGAAATTGCTAACACACCAAACACAAAGCCCTAAAAGTACCAGATGAAGACCTTCCTAGACTAAGAGAAAACATTTTTTTTTTTAAACGTTCCCCTACCCTGTTCAAGTATCATGGAAAAATGGTCATCTTGCCTTCAGTGGTGTCAGTAAAAGCTGATGAGAAGCCTGGGCTTCCATCCTTGCCTGAGCATAACAAGGTGCCTCTTCATTTCTTGCTGGGTTGTGCTGCAGAGGTGAAGAAGAGTCCAGGCCTGGTACTTCCTTGCAGAGGTCAGCAGCTGCTGTCTTCTCCCTGTGGTGTGACTCAGGGCTTAGCCGGGACACAGTAGAGGTTGAGGTGAGGCAGAATTCTTTTTCCTTGTGAGGTGGGGTATAAGGAGACTTGCTGAGACAAAAGATTTCAATAAGGTCTAAAGTCAAGTCAGACAATATCCTCAGTGTTGAGAACGTAATAAAAGATCACTTGTCATATGACACCAGGAAGAATCAACCTGAATGATAAAAGGTGACAAACAGGACAGCAGCAGCACGACATAGTGGTGGGAATGAACTGACAATGGTTTTGAAGCACCCGTCATAATTGTCACAGTGACCAATTACAAACACACTCGAAAGAAATGAAAATAAAAGGTATTAGCAAAGAAGAGATTTAAAGTAGAACCGAATCTAAATGCTACAACTGTAAACTACAACCACCCGAATGCCAAGCTCATTGGGTAGGTCACCACCCGAAAGCAGAATGGCAGAAATCACCTCGCCTATCCACCAGAGGGGAAAAAATAGTGAATCAAACCAGGCAAAATCCCAGCATCGATGTGGGAAAGAAGCTAAGAAACCCAACCGTTCTTGAGGAACCCTAAGCAGACGATGACTGCAGGGAGGTGGAGAGTCAGTCTTGTTTAGGGTGAGACGCTTAGTAGACTGACCAGCTCCAGTGGGGTGAACTTACACCAAGGAGTATTTGGGGCACATGTTTCACTCTGTAGGCCAACACACACACACACACACACACACACACACACACACACACACACACACACGAGCACATGAAATAGATGAGGGTGAGGATCTAAATGTGATCAAAATATATTGCATGAAATTCACAAAAATTCAATAAAAATATTAAAATTTAAAAAAGAAGCTGGGCTAAATCCCAAAGGGAAGAACTCAAAGAAATCCACATTCGGCTGTGAATAAGCAGCAGCCTCAGTGAACAGATTGTACCAAGGCTCATGGGAGTTCAGGAGTAGATGTAGAGGGTCCTACAGGGACTTCATAGCTGGAAATACAAACTGCTTCTCAGGCAGTTTTCTGAATTGCTTTATCATTACAGTATTTTATATCTGTTAATTCTGTGGAATAGTATTGATTTAGTTCTTTTCCTCTGCTGTCAGAAGAGAGCAATGAACACAAGCATGCTAGTGCCCAGCTTCTCCTGGCATGCCTCAAGGCCCGTCTCTCAAGTTGATTCTGGAGTCTGTCAAGTTGACCACCTTAACCATCTCAGGTACATAATCATCACTGGGTGCATAGACACAATTCAATGTATCAAAAAACCTTTAAAATAAAATCAGAAAAAACTAATACATCTGTATAAACAATATCAAATCATCACATAGCTCCTGCCTGTGCCAGTCAACATGACTACACTTACTGTTTGTCTGTCATGGGGGGGATGTGTCTTGCTAGATCTGCAAGTGACTATTGGCCGTTCTTTTCCCTAGAAGTCTTCATGTTGTGAAGAAGAAAGAAATGTGTAGAAGGAATGTCGGAAGAAGATGGAAATTTCACATTTAACTGTAAATTTCTACTAATGAGTATACTTACAGCAGGAAAACCTATGTGAAAAATTGTAACCAGAATACAAGTTTCTAAAAAAAAACTCAAGCTGTCTCATACCAGATACTTAAGAAATACTTGATGAATGGATGAACAAAAGAAACGAATAATGGATCCAAGGGTTTAATTATTTTGATGCTAATAGTTGAGAGGAAGAGACTTCCTATCTGTGTGAAAGGACTATTAATTTTGTGACATGTTTAAATATGTGTGTTGTCTAAGAAAAATTTTCCTATCCTAAATTCATGTACACACACATTCTCCTTTTCTGTCAGTTGAGTATTTTGATTATCTACATATCAGATTTCAGGATAACTTTTAACTTTTGACTTCAAAAATCTACATATACCTTTCAGAGATCCATAGAGAGATGTCTTTGAATAATCACACCCCAACAACAGTGTGGGTTAATCAAGCAGGTGTGACAAATCAAATCTGCAGCAGTGCTTACATTGCACAGTGAATTGTTTGTTGATTGATTGATTGATTGACTGATTTATTGATGATTGACTGACTGGCTTTTTGAGACAGGATCTTCCTGTAGCCAGAGCTGGTCTAGAGCTCACAGAGATTCGCCTGCTTCTGCCTCCCAAGTGCTGAGATCAAAGGCGTACACTACCATGACTGGCCATCGTTTATTTTTTTTAGCTCCATGTTATTTAGTTTGTGTGTGTGTTGGAATGGTGAACCTATGCCCTGGTGCACGTCTAGAGGTCAGAGTACCACCTGTGGGAGTTCATTCTCTCCTTTAATATGTGGGTCCTGGGGATCAAATTCAGGTGGACATGCTTAATGGCAAGTGCCTTTACTCACTGAGCCCTCTCACTAGTGTGACTGCAGTGTTTCCTAGGGTCCATTTTTAAAAGCACTAGTTTGATAGGATGTTTCTAGACAATATTAAAAACAGAATGAATAGCAGAACTAAAAAGTTATACTCATATATGCATGAAGAGACTTTCATCTTTTGTTCTTGTGACATGGGCTTATGGCAGATGTGTTCAGATACCTTTTAGAAGACAGATTGTTTTTCCATTCCAAGGATATATACTTACCTTCTGGGCAAGTTCACATGTGGTTGTTGAGTATGGGGGCATGGGGGAGTGAGATGTTCTGATCACATTCTCCAGCCAATTCTGAGGCATTTCTACTCATTCCACCCACTTCCTCTCCAGTGTTTAGAGTGAAGGTTGATGTGCTCCTAGGCATGTGGTTCTCAAGTGTGGGATGACTTTCCCAAGCACGTGTGAGTGTGGGACCCTGATTTCCTGCAGTGCTGAGGTCAAGAGATTGTAAGCAGCAATGCGTATCTGGGCTGGTTGAGCCTCTTACTATCCCTATGATACCAAAATTGGAGTTCTCATATTTTAGAAAAAGAAACCAAGGAGTGGTAGGGTTAGGGCTCAGATGGAGATCTTCACATACAGTCAGAATCTTACTCGATGTTCAAAAGTCCTGGCTGAGCTAGACAGTGAATGTACATTCAATACAGAACAATCAATAGTGCAATGGTATTAAAAAGACTTCACACCCACTTTAAGTTTCTCATAGAGTTAAAACTTGGTGTGTGCCATGAGAAAAATGACACAGAAGATGTACTGTAAAGGTCTAGTTTAAGCACTACAAAGCCCTATGTCAACACGAACTCTATAAAAATTCACGGTTCCTTTCTCAATAATTTAAATCTGGTTTTGAAAATGCATATTTATGTATAAAAAAAGGAGAGGAACATTAAAGCTGGCATAATACTGTCAGCTGTTGGCCATATGGAAAAATTTAAATTGTCATAAAGCTGGCCAGTTATAAAACGTTTTAGATAGATTTTTTAAAATCACATTTTGAGTGTTTGAACGACATGCTCAAAAGTACGTTGTAGAACTACATTAGTAATTACTTTGACAGTAATTTTATGTGACCATTCCATATGTAATTAATCACTTTTTCAGTTGATCCATGCAATAGGCAACAGAGTATGTGTTTTTTGTGAGGGAGAAAGATGTTGAAAAGGGAAAATTAAAATGTGCGTTTTTGTTCAGGTGCTATGACTGGACCCAGGGCCCTGTGCGTGCAACCACTGGACTACACTGCCGTGCCAGAGAATTCAGTCTTGAGTTTTGCAGTTAGATAGCTGTGTGTAGTATAAATGGAATGTAGTTATTACTCAATATCAATTACTGATCATTTCTCTGTGCACAGTACTGCTGGCCCTGCAGTGATGACACACATGAAGAAAGAGGTGGTAGAAAGTTGTGTCTGAACCTAATTAGAAACTGGTTTCAAAACGTGTTATTTTTTTTTTCATATTTGCCTTTGAATCAACAATTCATAGAAGTGGATTATTTGGCGATAAATCTCATCATGTATATCTGAATTCATTCTCTTGAAATGCATCAATTTCCATTAATACCAGCAGTTGATAATGGTGTTGTTTTTATTTTTCCCCTTTAAAAAAAATGATCACTGGGTAGTTAAACTGTTCAAAAGAGCCCCAAACCTCATAGCCACTCTAGGCTTCTATATGCACCAATTTTCAGGTACCCACATGAGGAATTATTGATGCAGTTATCAGTCTTGGATTCCCTTTGTTAATTCATTGGAAAGTCATGTATTTAATGCATATATGTTAGAGCCATGCTGTGTGCAGACTGTTGCAGTGCCGGACAGTGTCCAGGGAGGCTGAGGTTCTGCCTTCATGGTCAATGCCTTCCATCAGTCTTTGTCAATATGGTGAACAGTCATTTCTGGTAATACTAAATAGTGCTTGCTTTACAATTTAATAACCCCTCTGCTATCTACAATATCCTTTGAAATCGGTGTTTTGCTAAGCAGAAGGATTAACAGCCAAAATTTAGGCTATATGAACTTATCAAATCAGTATGATAATTAGCTTGTTATTTGAATTTAATTATCAGATAATTGTGGACTGACAATTGACTTTAGAAATAGGCTTGATAGGAAGCTGGAGATTGAGCTTAGTTGGTAGACCACTTGCCTAGCATGCATGAAGCCCTGGGTTCAACACCCCAGCACTGCATAAAACTGGGTATGGTGGTGCATGCCTGTAATCCTAGCACTTAGGAGGTGGAGGCAGGAGGCAGAAGAAGAAAGAAGAGGAAGAGGAAGAGGAGGAGGAAGAGGAGGAGGAGGAAGAGGAGGAGAAGAAAAGGAGGAGGAAGGAGAGATGGAAGGGAGAAGAGAAGGACGAAAGGAAAAAGGATGGAAGGAAGAAGGAAGGAAGGAACGAAGGAAGGAAAAATTTCATAATATTCTGCTCACAAATTGTTTGATAGATTCAGTTTCTAAGTTTAGATAAACACACGTAGAATTAACAGAAGACATGGAAGGCCCTTGCAAAAATTAAAAAAAAAATGTGACTTTGGGAACCAAAAGGAAATAAATACTAAGTCATTTAGGAAAAGAGAGAGAAAAGATTAATGAACTTTCCAAGCTCTTAGCGCTGCTTCTCATCCAGAATGTTTATAAGGTATTTGTTACAAGTAGTGCCCAGCCTGAGAGGAAATCAAAGTATAACAAGCACTGGCCTTAGGCTTGTGCTGTAATGACTGGCTACATGTTTCAAATTTAGCTTTTTGAATGTCAATGAGACTGAAGTCATAACCCTTAAAGGGCCGGTAACAGTGTGAACAAATGTTTCCTAGTTTGGGAAAAAAAGAAATCACAGACTGAGACCGCTGTAATTTGCCTTCTTGACATTTTCAAGATAGCTTCTTTTCAGTTTTTTTTTTTAAATGAAAATTGTTTAACTTTAGAGAAAAAATAGTAACCATGAAAGTGTATTTGCTACCTTAAAATGTAAAATATGCTTTGTACTGTGTTCGCAATGTCCTCAGTACTCAATAACAACGAGCTTGTGAGACGGTGAATGCTGTATTAGCTCAGGACTGTGTTTTTCATCCCAATGATTTGGCTTCAGTCACCAGACATACTGTACACCAGATTTTACGAACCACAGGAAAACTGGCACAAACTTTGAGTATTTTGCTTTATAAAACGAGACACTGTATTTACTAACGTTTAAAAATGTTTTTTTATATTGTTTCAATAAATCTCTGGCCTTGAAACAAATGCAAATAAAATGTTCAAGCTTTAGGCATTTGCTATACGTGAAATTTTGTGTGCTTTTCAAATAATCGGGGTGAATGCAGAGATAGAATTCAACTAAAGCTGAGTTTTGTCTTTCAAATTTCTAATGCACAAAAAGAGATGGTGATACTTTTGCTTGAGTCTAGCAAATATTATTGCAGTCATTAAAAAATAAAATAAGATTCTGGCACTGCATTTGTGATTTGAAGACTTATCCAATCTGTAGGGTGTGGGGAATGCAGTAGAGGACCAAGCTGCTGAGGATCACTGCAGCATCACGCTTAAACTCTTCGAAACAGGGCAGTTAATGTAATTTATACATACATAAACTAAATGGTAGCTCTGTTAGAGACCCTTTGGATGGAAGTGCTTTCTCCCAGTATTTTAATCAAGTATGCTATCATGTCTGTTCCCGTGGATGCATGCAGCACACAAATTTGCTGATGTGTGTTTCCCTTAATGGATCTAATATGTATAATGTTCTATTAATGTCTATTAGAAATGCATAGAGTAGTGAAAATGCACTTTAATCACAAATAATTGCTATTTTTTT